CTATTTCTGAAATGATGCTTGGCTCGGTCGCTCAGGAATTCTCAAAAATGCACGTTGTTGAATAACCAGGCCACCTCCTCCCTCAACTGTCAGCAATCCTCTTTTTTGTGGTCGTGAGTGCCATGATATTTGCACATCTGGTTAGGATCCCTTTGGGCTTGGTCAGATTGTAGAGGTTGAGGCCATTTGGTGTCTTTGATGCGTCCGATAGCTGATACAATGGCAACATCATCAACGGTAAAGTTATATTCTGATAATCTCGGTGCTTCTTTAGGCCCGATAGGCCTGTCAAAACCGTTCTTGCTCGTGAGTCCCCGGTTGCTCTGACCACAATCACTTCTCCTTTCATTTTGTATAGATTTCCGCCCGATCCTACTTCTTCTTCGATCTTTATTGTATGCCTGGTATCGATCTCTGTTTGACCTCGGTTCACGACCGATATCTTCTCTTGACTATGTCCATAGGTCTAACAGGATAAACGGGCCTCGGAGGAACCCCAAGTTGATCATCTCCGACTCTAATTTTTGACTGATATCGATTATGAACATCATCCCAAGTAACAGCCGGATACTCTATCGGATTCTGCTTCAGCTGCTGTGAAGCCACTGAACTTCGAACATTGAGTCCTTGGGTGAAAGCTTGAACGACCCAATCATCCGCGACCGGTGGCATGTCTATCCGTTCCATTTGAAATCGGGACACAAACTCTCTGAGCATCTTATTATCCTTTTGTCTTACTTTGAAAATGTCCGACTTTCTGGTCTTTACCTTGATAGCCCCGGCGTTTGCTTTCACGAAAGAGTTTGCAAGCATAGAAAATGAGTCAATAGAATTAGAAGGTAAGTTGTGATACCATATCATAGCTCCCTTTGACATGGTCTCTCCGAATTTCTTCAACAAGACAGACTCGATCTCCTCATCCTCCAAGTCGTTTCCTTTTATGGCGCATGTGTAGGAAGCGACATGCTCGTTTGGGTCAGTCGTTCCGTTGTACTTAGGAATATCGGGCATGCATAATTTTTTAGGATTGGCTTTGGAGCCACACTCGGAGGGAAAGATTTTTGTACGAACTTCTTAGAATCCAAGCCTTTCAGTATCGGCGGTGCTCATAGGATCTGGTCGGCCCTGGAATTGTCGGTTTCCTTCTTTTTGTCGTTTGCTTCGATTTTCTTCTCCCCCGATTCTATCCGTTTGGTCAGCTCCTCGAGCATTTTTATGATCTCGGGATTGGTCCCCGATTCATTTTCATTCGACCTCTCTGCAACCAGTTCTTCCCTACGGGCTATTTCCCGGGACTGATCGAGTTCAATTCTGCTCGCTGTGCGGCTTTGGTTCTGCAACTGAGCTATTGCTGCCTGTTGGGCCCGTAACATTTCGAAGATCATCCATAGATTGATCCCGTCTCCCTTATTGTTTTGAGTATTCTACTCTGTCGATTGGGCTCCACCATGGATGCTACTCTCGGGGTCAGTAGGCAGGTTTGTGTTGATAGTCACATGCGAGTTAGCATCCAACGGTTCTGCGACTGGAATTTCGATGGGCTCAGCGGGCGGTACCATATTACCGGGCGCTATGTTATTATTTTTACCGTGGTGACCGGACTCATTGTCCACAGGTAGGGGTGCCAATTGTGAGTTCGTCATTTTGAGCTTTAACTTGAAATTAGAGGCACTTCAAACAATAAGTGTAAAGTAGTGTGTTATGGAAAATTTGTATCAAATAATCAATATTATCCATAGCCCCACGGTGCGCGCCAAACTGTTTACCCTCAAAATTGGATAAAAATTAAATTTATAAGTGGTTTTGATGATACGTGGATTAAATTGATACAAATTGATAAATTAAATTGCAATTGAAATAATGTATGAAGAAATAAATTCAAACCACACGAATGGAACAGTTACAGCCTTAGGAGGTGAGCCACCCTTTTACTGAGTGCACTTCGATCAATGTTCAGTCACATCTGAATAAGAACTTTAAAGAGAAAATAACAGTATATTGCTTCTGAATGATTATTACAATGTCTTTTACAAGTAATCAAACCCCCTTTATATAGTAGGGGAGTCCTACTTTAGGTACAATTCTATAAAAGGTAAAAATCTCCAGATTTGCTAATTTGCCGGTTCCTTATTGATACGTGCCGTGATTCCCGCCGTAATGCTCGACTGGTCATGGATATTTCGGTCTTCTGTTGGTCGCACTGACAATGTTTCCTCGAGCTCGTTCGGGGTCAGGGTCGATTCTGGGACCATAGATCCAACATTCTCGAGAACGGACATTCTAACCTCGTGTTCTGGTTCGACGAGATTCGGGGTCGATCTCCAACCCCTCATGTTCCGAGCCCGACTTGTCGTATAGTAGACGAGCCCGATTTCGACCGTATACAACTTTAAACAATTTGAGAGTGTTAAAATAAAGAATTTTTCTTTTTGTAGTACATTTATCGAATTGTATCTTTTAGCAGAATGAGTCGTACTGGGTGTAACTTCTTGAAGATCCCTTCATTGAAAATCAAATTTCTACCCTTTAAGCTTTTATGGGTATTAAGCCTTTGGATTTTGGAAGAATTCTTTGTTATACTTGTAGATTGCATATTTTTTTAATTAAGAAAAAACCTTAGTTGATACTGCTTTAATACCACGATATGCACGGGTCTCCTCTCTTGGAATTCTTTTTTTCCACCAATTTCTTCTAAAATCTAGAAGCCTCGAACACTAATATTTGATAAACAATTTGATTCCTTGTTAATAAATCAGAATTTTTGACATATTTCCATAGAAATTTTACATCACCTTAGTCAGTTGATGGACGGATTTATCTGTTATTCTGTTTGTTATTACTTTGGAACATGCTAATTCTTCCTTTTATGCTGTAATTTTCAGAATTTTGGATGATATTGACCCCAAAAAAATCGCCTATGAGGTATATTGCCCATTAATACCTCTTTCTATGATTTTGATTTGTGTTTATATTCCAAGTTTCTAGTTACTTAGCATATGGAGCGTCTCCTAAGGTTTATTATGGGTTTAACAGTTCCTTGATGCTCAATTTAATATTGATAAGCAATACTTCTCAAGAGGGAGAGCCTACTTTTCGAGATGGAGAGCCATCAACCTGTGCACTGGCATATCTTTTAGTGATCACATCTTGGTCTCAAAAAGAATGTCATAGAAATTAAAAACAATAAATATTCATAGTAAAAAAATTATTTATTCTTTTATACACTCATTATTTCCTTGTACTCATCATTTGACCTCTTAATTAAAGAACATTATTATTTTAAAAAACTTTATTGTTTCTAATATTAGCTTTATAGTTAGCAAATAATTTTATTATTTCCTTGTACGGTGACGTCAGGCAAGTAGTAAACCTCCTTCAAAGCGTCCAAGTTTGTTCCAAATTTTCAAGTTCGCATTAGAAACAAGACATATTTTAGAATACATACTTTCTTTTTATCCTAAATCTTTATGTTATTTTTGTATGTTATCATAAAAGTACAAAACTCCGAATATAAACTTGATAGATTTTAACAATAAAATTGTTTAAATCTCAATTATAGTATAGCTCACTCCATTAAGGGCTTGATAATGCCAGAAAAAGTACATCTCTCAATACCAAATTTACATTTGATGGTAGTATTATTGTAAATCGTAATGGAGTCTGCTTCTTTCTATCAAAAGTCTGCTAACAATTATACTGTAATACAAAATTTGATCAATCACATCGCGTTTTTTTTAAATGTGTCTTCAGTGACCAGATTTTAGCACATATGAAATTTCGCATGATGGAATTCACTATTTTGTCATATTACTTTAATGATCTACAAGGTATGACACGTGCAACACACGTACACTAAAATAAGTATATATATATATATATATATATATATATATATATATATATATATATATATATATATATATATATATAGATAGATAGATAGATAGATAGATAGAGAGAGAGAGAGAAAGAGAGAGAGAGAGAGATGATTTATTTTTTATTCCAAATAGAAAACATAAACTTGTTCACAAAATTAATTTTATCCTCTGTGATAGAAAAAAATATAATAATATTTTAATTGGACTAATAATTTAATTTATTTGACTAACTAAATTCTTTAATTCAATTATCAAATAATAGAATAATTAATCCTTTAGAAAATATCAGAACACTCGTTAGTGTGACACTATATAGGTTAAATACTAAGCCAGTATTAAATTTATCAGATCAATATATACTAATCACGGGTGGCGTCTAGCAACACTCGTTTACAACCGAATAGCATGAAGTATATATTATACTCTCAAGAACCAGTGTGAGCGCGTAATTTTTGCCTTACAGAAAACATTCCTACAAAATCCACCCAAAAATAAATTGTTCTAATTGGCTTTGAATTTATAGAGTTTTGGGATTTTCTTTTAAATTATTTGTTCACATTTAGCTGCTTTTTCATGCATATTTAATAGCTTAAAATTATGGAAAAATCATAAAAATTGTCACATTTTTATTTCATGCCATCTTAAGTTTAATTCGCATTTTTAAGAATTGATTACTCTTAATTGTTAGAATTAGTACATAAAAATGAAACAAAATATTTGGTTTTTTTTATTTTTTTTTATTTTTACATGCATTTATTAATAGATTAGTAGAATTAATTTGCTAATTTAAGGTAGGTCTTAATTTAGGATTTAATTAGTTGGAATTTAAAAATCAAAGAAAAGAAAAAGACAACAAAGAAAAAAAGAGAAGGCTGCCTGCCTTCATTTGTTAATTGGGACAACAGTTTATTTGGCCTAAAACCTAACCAGTCAAAACATCTGCCTAGCCCAATCCCCTTGAGTCCAAACCGGTCCAGCTCCCCTAATACCCAAAACGACGCCGTCTCTAGTAACTTTGATCCTGGCCATTCACTGAATTTGATCCTACGGCCAGGAACTTACCCAATTCCACCCTTATAATTGTCCGAACCCCCCTTCCCAAAACCCTAGAGACGCCCCTCATTTCCCCCACCTCCCTCATCTCTCTCATCCTTTGAAGAAGCCGCCGCCGGAAATTGCCTTATGGCGGCGGCGCCACTCCAAACCACTTCAAATTGACAACCCATAATCTCCAACTCCTCCTCAATCTAAACCCCTTACCATTTTCTCCTAAATCTTCACCAAAATCAGCATATTATAGATCTAAAATTCCATAAAAATTGATTTTTGTCTGCTCTCTGATTCTTCATGATTTACCATGCGTTTTGGCTCGAAACTCACATGAATCAATTGCTCTTAATGAGAGCAATCGATTTACGTTAGCTTCGATTCATTTCGAAGCCACAGAATCCGTTTGAGTTTTGTTGGTCGGCCCGTTTTTCTTCCAAATCATTTTCAGTCGTGTAGTGCCCGCAGGTATAACTCTCATCACGTTTCTCTTTAATTTCAGTTTGTTTCCTCATATTCATCTCCTTTTACCTTATCTCTGTCGAAAATAGAAATAATTAATCCGTTTGATTATTACTTAGCTTCCTAATCTCAACACTATAGGACTTTTTATAGAGTTTAATTGTGTCGGTAATGAATATGTATGTTTGTTAGGTCACAGAATGTGTGCTCGATAATTCAATCTTTTTGGCTGAGTTTTTTTTCTTGATCTTGCTAATTGTTGTCTTTTGTTTCTGTTCTCTTTAGGATTAGATTAATACTTAATAATAAAAGCCATTCGATATAGGTTTAGAGTATTGATGATTAGCAATTAGCAGTTTAGAGGGCACTTTAGGAATTAAATCTGAAGGAATATTATCTGTAACAGCTGGAAGGTTCTAGAATAGAATAGAAGGGATTATAATGGAAAAAGATACGAAAAATTAGTTCAAAATTGGGGTAAAAGGGGAATTTTTAGAAGTTAAATGGTTTAGTTAAAATAAGAGAGAAAGTCTGAATTGGACAGCTGTCCATTTTTCAGTATTAGAAAGAAGTCCTCCCTAATTTTTAGCTGACAGGATTCCTTTCTATCCTCTCCCTTTTTCTACAACTCACAAACTTTATATAAGGGACTTGATTTTACACTGTTATGGGGATAAAGAACACACGTACACACTCATCCTCACGGATTTCTCTGAAGAAGAAAACAATCTGAAAATTCCAATTTAGAGACAGAAATACAAAATATAGAGAAAGTTCCAATCTTTTCTTGTTTTGTCTTCCTGCTTCATTTCTTTTGGGTTTTACAAGTTTGATTAACTGTTGAGACCTGGGTTTCATTGATGAAGATTACTGCTGAGCTTCTAGTTTGAATCAGATTCGGTTCTTATCTAGATATCTTAGTGCTTTCTTACTTAACTAGGTCAGTACTAAGATCTCTTTGTATTTTTGTTCTTATCAAATGAATAGAAATGCTTCTACTCCTGTTTGATCTCTGAATATTTTTTTGTTGCTATTTTAGTGTGTGATTTAATGGACTTTTTGTTTCAATCATGAGTGGAAACATTGAAGTAGTTTTGAAATGTGACATTTATGAAAATTTGATCAACTAAGTATGAGTCATTAATTGTTGACTTGATTGATAATCTTGAATGATGTCCGAAATTTTGTTTAAATCTTACAGCTTTAGCAATAGCTCTAAACATAAAGCTACTATAGTTTTTCTACATATATGATGAGCAAGTTTGTGCCGATTTCAGGATATAGAGGGCTGCTGCTGCTGATCGCATGGCTATAGTTTGAGAATTTGGCCACTAACTGGCCAGATTAGTAAAACTCTAAAGCTAAAGAATTGGATTTTGAAGATATATTTAAAAGTTTATTGTTTCTAATTTCAAGTGAATGTTGAAGCCAACAATGCACTATTAGGGTGTATTTGGATCCAAGAAAGGTTGTAATTTATTATGACAGTTATATATATAATATAGGATTACTGTGTCAATGATGTTATTTGAATCATGTACTGTGCCACTATTATGTAAAGCAAGGCAGATTTTATCATTTTTCTTGTCAATTTCTTCATACGGTTAAGTGCTGCATCTGTTTTGACTCTTTACCATCACAAGGTTTAAAGATTGGGTCTTTAGTTTATTCCCACAATTTTGTTAACTGGGTATTTAAAGTTTGAGCGATAGATAGTTTAATGATTAGAACTTTCCTTTATGTGGGCCTTGAACATGAACATCCTCCACACTTGCTCACCAGTTCTTAGCAATTTTCATAACTAATTCAGTTCACGTGAATTCCTAGATATAAGCCAATAAGGTGTAATTACAGTATAATTTCGTGAAAGTAGGATGCCCACTTAACTTAGTTGACTGGTGTGAATGTAATTCCATCTCACGATCATCCCATAAATACGTGCTTTCACATTTAGTCTTCAATCTTACGAAAGCTAATCAATTCATGAGCACAGTAGATTACTTTAGGCGCGATTAATAAAACATCGTGACTACGGGTACGGTTCCCGTGGCGCGGTCATGATACGTAAATCCCAATTTAAGTGCGCGTTTCACGCGACTCGACGACAAATTTGAATAATAATAAAATCGGCATGTTGTAGATCGCGGGTGCGTTTCACGTGACGCGATTAGCAATATGTACAAAAACAATAAGTGCGCGCAGCTTGTTCAAATAATTTTCATAAGTACAAAATCGTTTAAATAATTAATTAAAAGCGGTTAGAAGATTAAAATACACAATGGGTTTAAAGTATGTAATTAATCAGATAATTAGGCCAGTTATTAATAGTTGAACGAACGTGCTAAAACCACAGAATTCGGGAGTGCCTAACACCTTCTTCCGGGTTAACATAATTCCTTACCCGGTCTTCCGTATTTGCGGACCAAAAAAATAGAGTCAATCTCCTTGATTAGAGATTTTTAAAATAAATTGGTGACTCGGGACACCATTAATTATTCCAAGTGGCGGCTCTGAATTAGATTACTAATCCCATTTCGATTAATGTCACTTCGATTGAAAAAACTCCCTATTCCCTTCAAAAAAAGTAGGTGTGACAGCTCTAACAACTCTCCTGGGGAGTATAACCTAGAATCTCTGGTTCAGGGTTCAGAATTTGAGCTTAGAACGACTGTTATAGTTGGTTTTGTTTATTATCTGATTTTTTACGTGTTTGAGCCTTATGTTCTAAATGCCGCTTTTTACTGCTTTGATATTGTTGGAACGTATATAAAACTGTTACGAAACCCTCCTTCTCTCTAAGTCTTCTAAATCTTCTGGGAAATGAACGCCGGCGTGGCTTCTTTTCTGTTTGTGTCACACCCTAATTTAGAACGAGGATCAAATCAGTTACAAAGCCGGATGGCCTTTTGGTTCCTGGTACATTGCCACCCTCGGCTTGAGTTATCCGCTCGGGTAAGCCAGGTCTAGAATAATACACCCAGGATTTAAACTTAGAATAACATAGCCTCATGCCGAATCCCTAGTAGGAACGTTTGTTTGCATCACGTGCATTTGACTTTGGGGACTCAACACAGGGGTTGGTCCGTCTAGGACAGGTGTACCCAATTTAAAAGACCATCCTGATGTATTTTTACGTGCTACTTGTACATTTATTTGTTTCGGCTTGCATGTTGACCGGCTTCTAGAATAGGGAAAGAAAAATGAGAAAAACCAAGATTGATGTAGGAGAGAAAATCACCCGCTTATGAAAAAGCCTGATATTTAAAATGTCCAGAAACTCTGCCGAAATTTTTTTAAAATAATTTTTATTTTCCTGTTGCGTCAAAACTTACCGAACTACGCGAGTTTGATTCTCACCGAACGTGAGATACGTTGGCAACCTTCATTGGGTCCAGCCCCCCTTTTGCAAAAATAACAAAAAATATGAAAATCCTGTCATTTCGTCACAAATAAAGTTAAGTGATTCTGTTTTTTTCCAAATAGCCAGTAATGTTCCGACGGGACGCCGGAAGGCCGTTGTTGCAAGAATAGCCGCATATAGTCCTTTTTCTGATTTTTGCCCCCTTAGAAAACATAGCCCTAAAATCTTCCCTTCCGAAGTGCTGAAGGGCCGTATTTGCAAAAGTAGCCATGATTTGTTTTAAGTCAGATATTGCAAAAAATAATCTTTTTCTGGTCAGTTTTCAATCAAAATTCACTTGTTTTAACTCGATCACCCCAATTTAAAAATGTGCAGAATGAGCACTGTTCAGAATTTACCGTTGAAGGTTATGGATCAGATTCCGCTAGCACTCCACATGTGGGAAAATAAGGACGAGAGAGGGTCAATCAATATCTGGGGGTGCTCGTTGTACTTTTAAAAATTCAACCTAGAAGTGATCTGATAGAGGCATTGGTATCATTTTGGGACCCCACTTACAATATTTTGCACTTCTCAGATTTTGAGCTTACACCTACTTTTGAAGAAATGGAGGGTTATGCCGGGAGTACAGAGGGATTAAGACACAAGTATCTGGTATCTCCAATGACTGTTACTCCCTACAAGTTTCTAGACTTACTTAAAATAAGCAGACAAATCAAGACTGAATGTCTAAGCAGATGGAACTTTCACTTTTCACTTTCTATACCAGCGATACAGGCACTTAAGAGGATTCAAAAACCCAGAAAACGGACTCTACAGTAAAGGAAACCGGTCAAAATGGAAGACGCATAGATGCTTTGCCTTCATGGTGGCATTGGTAGGCCTTTTGGTATTTCCAAGGGAAGATGGGAATATTGATTTGCGTGTAGCCGGAGTTTTCCATGTGTTGACTACTTAGGCTAAGAGTACCCTTGCGCCCATGATCGTATCAGATATATTCTGAGCCCTCACATCCTGTAAGGCCGGAGTCAGGTTTTTCGAGGGGTGCAATCTGTTACTGCAAATGTGGATGATCGAGCACCTTTTTCACCGTCCCCGATACATGAATTACGGTTCTACGGGAAAAAACTGCATCGAAGAGTTTGGTACACGAGTGACCGGATTTGAAATGCCAGAAGGGGTCAAAGAATGGATCACCCACCTTCGTTATATAACCGCATATCAGATAGAATTGACATTGGGTTGGCTTCCTGTTGATGAGATTATTTATATGCCTGCCACTGGTCCCTACTTCTTTCTAATGGGTCTCCGAAGCACCCAGCCCTATGCCCCGTGCCGGGTTTGAGACAACTTGGAAGATGCCAGGCAGTTCCCAGAGATGAAGATCTTAGTACTCATGTGGTTGAAATCCGCTCCAATGCCCAATTTCCTGAAGAGGTGGTTCGCCAAATTTGGAGCGAATGCCAGTATTTGGGAGCAAACACCCGAGTACGTGATTTGTCCAGGGGAAAGGTCTTACCTGGTTATGTTGCTTGGTATGGAAAGAGAGTCGCAACAAATAACGAATCTGAAAGGCCGACTAAAAGGCCTCATATCCAAGAATTTATCGATGCATCACAGGAACAGTGGGCTTGGTTAGACAAAGAGAATGAATACCGGACCATCATAAGCAAACTAGAAGATCAAATTAGAAACATCAAATTCGATAGTAGTTTGCATGCTGCTGAGGACAAAGGAGAAAAGAAGAGGTTGGCTCGAGAAAATGAAGCCCTCCGAGCTCAGATCCACAAAATAAAAATAGCCACTGAAACCCCGGTAAGAAGCAAAAAAAGATGAAAGAATCATAAGCAATCTGAGGCGTAAAGTGTATGACTATGGGGCTGATTTGACAAAAGCCGAGGAAGACTTGAAAAAGCTCGAGCACAATTGGAAAAAGGTGCGGAAGAACGGACAAGGTTTGCTCAGCAGTTGAAGCAAAAGTATGATAGAGGAGTCACGCTCTTAAAGGAAAAGCTGACTACCCTCGAAAATGAAATGGTTCAGCAAACAAAATACTTCAAAACAGAGAGAGAACACTGCTATGCTTTGATTTACCGATTAGAAGAGAGCGCGCAAAAATTGCAAGACCAAGACAAAACGGCCACGTAGGTGCTGGACGCCCGTGCACAACAAATTGGATGCTTGCTTCAAGAAAATGGTGTCATTAGAATGCGAATCAAAGAAATAGCTTATTATGTTGCAATGAAATGCCTTGAATGCGAAGATATGACCAAATCCACGTTTTTTGCTTCCGTGATGACCTTTGTTCTGTAGAGGATGGCTGATCTAGAGCACCTTCAGAAAGAAATTGCACGCAGGCCCACGTCGAGATCGACAAATATCCGGCGGGCCCCTGGAATAGCATTGGAGGCTCTTATGTATTCTTGATTTTTCGGCTTTCGAGTATGTATTTTACTTTTTCTCAAGTCTGCTTTGTCCTTTCAAGTTTTTTTGTGGTTTTTTTCCGAGTTTGTATTTTTCCTTTTTGTAGTCATCAGTGCTTTCGAGTCCTTGTAATAGAAAACCCAAAAAGATGTCTTTTATTAATGAAATATTGAAAAACCCAAAAATTCTCTTTTCTTTCATTTCATATTTATCTCCTGAACTACGTAATGATCTGATTCATGTGGCATCCTGATACGTAGGCAATCCCCATTGGATTCGATCATAGCCATAAAAATAAAGAGTGACAAAAATAAAAAGAGAAAAAGAGAGCGCCAAAAATAAAAGAGCGACAGTAACAAAATGAGAAAATCAAGAGTGATTAAATGGAGGCAGAAATGAAAGAAAAGAGGTACAGAGTGAAAAAGGGTTAGTTAAGGCCGGGATGAAACATGCAACCGTTCAAACACATGGTAGAAGCGTTTAATTGTTTAGGTGCATTGCATCCCAACGAGCGATTTCCTAGCTGTTAAATTCTCAAAACTAACAAGGTTGTTGGGTGTGCTGTTAGTCCAGGAAAGTGGTTAGTTTGTTGGCATTCTAGCAAGTCATCCATACAACATTAGGTCAAAGCACAAGGCAGTCATGGCTAGCAAAGAATTAGACACAGGTGTTGTTGACCCACAGAGGGAGATTGTGGAATCAGAGTCTGAATTGAAAGAGAAGGTCCAAAGGTTGAAACATCAAATGGCAGAGATGTACCAAGTTTTGATCAGGGGGCATCTTCTACCTTCAT